TGTGCCCTATATGCCCTACACCTCAAAAGTACATGAACCACTGACTCCTCCTCTTCCTGACACCTCTCACACAGTCCTGTCTGATGCTTCCCTACCAGTTTAAGTGACTTATTAAGTGAACAGTGCCCTAGCCTTAACCTCATTATCACCACTTCCTCTCTCCTGTGCCCCATACCTGCCCTAGTGACCCTGATGCAATTTTGTATGTGAAATAAATGCCTCCCTTTGCCCTCTCTGTCCCACCTCTCTTGCCACATTTGATTGGTTTTCCCCCAAATAACACTCTTAACCTCCGCCTTACTGATACTTACTTCCATTTCTATTCTTCCTTTCCTTAACGCCCTCTTTGCTAACTCATCTGCCCTCTCATTCCCTCTCACCCCTACATGTGCTGGTACCCACATAAATTTAACCAGACCCCCTCTATTCACTATTTTAGTAAGTCACTGCAAAACTCCATATAAAATGTCTTGACGGCTATTAGAATGAAATGATTTCAAGCTTGCTAAAACTGATAAAGAATCTGAGCAAATCAGTACCTTGGTATATCTAGCCTATTCCACCCACCTTAACACCACCAGCACTGCCAGCATATCCACCGTGTAGACCCCTAACATATTTGACGACCTTCTATTTATCCCAATTCCCTTTGCTGGCACAGCCACCCCAAATCCTGTCACTCCTGTCTCAGGTTCTTTAGCTCCATCAGTATACACCATTGTATAATCACTATACATTCCCATTACTTGACATTTAAAAGCACTTACCAAGTCTATTTGACCTTTTTCTTTTCTTTTAAGCTCTAACAAACACAAGTCTATATCAGGCAACACAAGCAACCATGGTGGTATCGCTGGATACACTACTGTGGGGCTTATCCTCACTCCTAAGACTCCCAGTTCATTTGTCACATCATTCCCTACCTGCCCAAAATTTTCCCTCTGACTTTTCCCATTCTCCCAGCACTCCCGCAGGACTTCTTTAGTTGGGTGAGAATCACTGTGTCCCTGCAAATGTGCCCAGTAATTCACCATCAGCTGCTTCCTTCTCAGCCCCAGTGGCATCTCTCCCATCTCTACCTGTAGAGCAGGTACTGGCATTGTTTTAAAAGTCCCACTGCACACTCTCAATGCCTGTGCCTGAACCACATCCAACTTCTTAAGATGAGACCTGGCAGCTGATCCATAGGCAATACTGCCATAATCAAACACCAATCTTATCAGAGCCACATATATTCTTTTTAGTGCTGAGCAACTAGCTCCCCATTCCCTACCTGTCAGACATCTCAATACATTTATCACTTTTTTACATTTTTCTTCTATCCTGCTAATATGACTTGCCCATGTTAACCGTGAGTCAAATACTACTCCCAAAAATTTAAATGTTCCAACTCTTTCTAAGTCATTCCCATACATCCTTAGTTTCATTCCTTCCTCTATTCTTTTACTGCTGAAAAAAAACTGTCTGGGTTTTCTCCACTGAGAACCGACACCCCCAGTCCCAACCCCACTCTACCACCTCATCAATAGCCCCTTGCACTTTGCCAGTTACATGCGCGATATTCCTTCCTCTTTTCCACAGAGCCCCATCATCCGCAAAGAGTGACCTACCTATATCTTCTGGCACTTTTGAGAACACATCATTTATCATAATAGTAAAGAGTAACGGACTAATCACATTACCTTGAGGAGTCCCGTTCTCAACTACATATTGACTTGATAAATCTGATCCAACTCTTACGTGTATTTTCCTTCCAAACAGAAAATCCTTAATCCAATTAAAAACCTTCCCTCTTACACCCATCTTGCACAGCTTTATTAACAATCCCTCTTTCCACATCATGTCATAGGCTTTTTCGATGTCAAAGAACACTGCAACTACTGACTCTTTATTTGCCTGTGCCTTTCTTATCTCAGTTTCTAACCTAATCACTGCATCCATTGTATTTCTTCCTTTTCTAAAACCACTTTGATAACTTGCCAGCATTTCTCTCTTCTCAAGATCATACAATAACCTCTCTGTTATCATCCTTTCCATTATTTTGCACAGATTTGATGTTAGCGCTATTGGTCTATAGCTAGTGGGTTGTGAAGGATCCTTACCAGGCTTTCTTATAGGAATCACTACTGCCTCTTTCCATGCACTTGGTAACCTTCCCTCTTTCCATACTTTGTTATAAAGTTGCAGCAACTTTAATAATGCTCCTTCCCCTAAGCGTTTTAGCATCACATAACATATCATATCTTTCCCAGGAGATGTTGGTTTTGATTTATTTATGGCCCTCGTCAATTCTGCCAATGTAAATGGTTCATCAATTGCTTCACCTGTTTCTTCCCTCCTGTCTAACACACCTGGATACTGAATCATTGTTCTCTCTCTTCTCCTCCTCCCCTCTTCTGACAGGTTATCTGTACTATGTATCTTTGCAAATGTCTTTGCCATGATTTCTGCCTTATCTCTGTTGGAGACTGCTGTTTCCTCCCCAGACGTCATGACTGGATAATCCCATACCCTTCTGTCTCCCCCCATCTTCTTAATCATTCCCCATAACTCTACCACAGGTGTTGTTCTTCCTATTTTATCACAAAATTTTCTCCAACTTGCCCTTTTAGCCTGGCGTACTGTTCTTCTCATTACTGCCTGTGCCTTCTATACTGGATTAAATGTTGCATGTTATGAGTTCTTTTAAGTTGTTTAAATGCTCTGTTTCTATTTCTAACAGCCTGACGACATTCCTCTGTCCACCATGGTACCAGCTTCCTATTCATCCTATTTTTACTCCTGGGAATAGCGCCCTCTGCTGCTCTAATAATTCCTGAAGTTACCTGATTATTTATTTCCTCGATATCTCCAGAAATGTCAATTCCATTCATTGTTTCCTCACTTAACTCCTGGAACGAATCCCATTTTGCCTTTGCAAAAACCCACTTTGAGATTTGTGCATTATCATTTGCATCCACTCTCTCTCCTACCAAACATGACACTGGGTAGTGATCACTACCTACAGTTGAATCTGTCCAGACCTCCCAGTTACTAACTCCAGCAATGGAGCTAGACACTAAAGTAATGTCTAATGCTGACTCAGTACCTGCAGTTATGTTCACCCTGGTTCCTCTCCCATCATTCATACATACCAAATTCCTTTCATCCATCAATTCTTCAACTACTTTCCCATTTGAGTCTGTTTGTGAGCCCCCCCACATTGTACTGTGGGCATTAAAATCTGCACACCATATTATCTTTTGTCTGTCTTGTCCTGGTATCCCCAGTAGTCGATCCAACACCAACCTTTTACATGGGTTATAATAGTTTACTATAACCACCTTCTCCCCTCTCTCCCACACTTCCACCACAATGTATCCTTGATCATCCCCCTTTCCTAGCACCCTATATGGAATATCTTGCGTGATGAATGTAGCACACCCTCCACCTCCCCCCTGATTTCTGTCTCTCCTTATCACTGTGTACCCATGTACCACAAAGTCTAAGTTTGATTTTAACCAGATTTCTTGAACACACACTATATCCGGTCTTACAGCCATTTCCTTAATGAATTGCTTGAATTCCTGGCCATTGGCCAGTAAACTCCTAGCATTCCATTGTAAAAGAATTACCATCAGTAATATCAACCCACCCATGATGTATCCTGGCTCGACTGATTAGTAAGGTTCTCCCTCACTTCTTCCCACGTCAGTCCCACTAATCCTAAGTGACTTACTGCTGCTTTGACAATGAGCTTTAACATTTTTTGATTTTATTTCGGCTGTACTGTTGACCACTCCTGCAATGAATGTCACCAAGTCCCTTTTGTCCACATACATCCTGTCAGTTGTCCTTTGTTGCGACTCTTGAACTTCCACTGCTCTCTGCTCGTTTACATCTCTGTTCTGTGCTCTCGACACTCTCACAGCTTCTGCATAGGTGATTCTTCTTTCCACTCTTACTTTTTGGATATTCGTTTCCCTTCTCATAACTTCACACCCACCATATGCCACACTATGAGCTCCTCCACAGCTACAGCATTTGGGCTGCACCCCTGTTCCGCATTTCCCATACTCATGGTCGCCCCCACACCTTGCACAACTCCTTTTCTCTTTACAATTCATGGCAGTGTGTCCAAACCTTTGACAATTAAAGCATCTTAATGGTTTTGGCACATACACTCACACTGGGAAACTCACAAACCCCAGGAGCACTCTCTTGGGCACATTCTCTCCTTCAAACTCAATCATCACTGTCTCACTATATTTTTTCACTCCCTCTTTTGTTGTTTTGAACCTTTGTGCTTCCTTCACCTTTCCACCTTTAAGACTCCTCTTAAGCTCCTCCATCCCCACACTCATAGGCACCCCCGTTATCACTCCTTTACATCCTCCACCATTTTGTGCTCCCACCCTCCCAGTACTCAACACCTTGTTTTTCCCTATCTCTTTTAATTTTAGTGCTTTTTCAGTTTGTTCATCACTATTACACCTCACCAATAAATTCCCATCATTCAGAACCTTTGCGTATTGTATTTCCCCTATCTTACAAGCCAGAGTCATTGTTAGCAAGAATGGATTTATTTTCTTCATGTGTTCTTGTCCCTTTTCATCAAGCCTTATTATTACAATAAGCTTCTCTTGTCTAATCCTTTGCACTTGTTCACGCCCTCCTTCCTCACTCTCGTAATAACTCTCATCGCCATCCCTTTTTGATCTCTTTTCCCTTTTGCTCGTCTGCCTCGGTTTATATCCTTGTATCCTCTCCTTTCCCCCTCATTATCTTCCTCTCTCCCTTCATCAAATTCCATGTCTGCCCAACTGCCTATCTCTGATCCATTCACAGAGCAGTCGTGCTCAACTGCCTCAGATAAGTCATCATCTGCTCGATTTGAATTTCGCGCATATTGTCGATCATTTCCTCGTTCACTGCCAGCTGACGTCTCCGCCATTCTCCTTCCCCTCGTCCGCTCTCTTCTCCGTCGTTTTCCTTCTGTTCCGCCCCCGGAACCCACCGGCCGCAGATGATGCTTTTATTCTGAAGGAGTCAAGTCGGAAGTATCATGGTGGCTAGTGCCACAGTGAATACAGACCCCACTCTTCGGTACTGCGTCCATGTTAAAGGTAACACTGGAGCCTTCCTAATTAGTTTTGTTCTTATTAAGCTAAAATTGAAGTAGAATGAAGTCAGTGCCAGTACCCATGTGTTTATCGAGGTGTGTTAATTCCGTTAGAATTGATATTTTGGGGGCAGAGAACAAAGACTGGGACTCGGTAACGCGTAACGACAGTCTTCACAGACTCCTGCAGACAAACTGTATCGTAACGTTAGCCAATATTGTAACACAGAAGTTTAACTTGTTACTGAGGTTAATTGCCAGAGAAAGCTGTCCAGGCATGCGGCTAATCATCAGATACGAGTTTCACCACGAGTTTAACGTTATATTTAAAGCCTCCGACACTGGCATCACTTTATTTGTCGTTAATAAGCGCTACCATTCATAGAGGAGCCTCTGTTAGCTGTATGAAGTAAGTTAACGTTATGTTATGAACAATATGGAGACACTGCGTCAAAATTTAGCTATAAACACGTGCTAGGGCTTCTATCTGTGCACCTTTACAGGTCCTCTGGTGACCTGTCTATAGTGTGCCACAATTTCGAACATCACCATTATCATTATAACGGGATGCAGTGGGAGACATTTAGTCTGCAGATAGGGCAAAAATAAGAGATACAACGAAATATAAAGCAAATATAAATGACACTGAAAACAGGAAATAGATGTGAAGGAGAGAAAATGAAGGCTGCTTCAGCTTAGTTCGTTTATTTCTGAAGATTTAAAGAAAAAACTGTCATTGATTGTACACTAAAAGAATAGAACTTCTCAGTGTGAGGCTGACCTTTTGTTTGCTGTAAAAATGGACCGTTGGACAATCAGCTGGGGGACAGAATGAGACATCTGATAAAGCGTATCATTATCAACAGGCCTCATTTAGCAGACCCACCCTGTCACAGCAGCACATACTGAACTCCAGCTCTCCTCAGTCTCATCTGTCTGAGCTCTCATGTTATTTGTGTTTGCAGTAAGCCAATGAAAACAATTGCAGTCTTTGGAGGGGGGATTGGGGGTTTAGCAGCATCTTACTACTTGTGCAAGAGCCCCCAGGTTACCAAGGTAACACACACACACACACACACACACACACACACACACACTCTTTGCTGTGATCATGTTAATGTCTATTGACCCCACAAGGGACTGAAGAGGAACAACATAAACTTAATTTTCGACTGCATCTCCTAAGGAGTTTTTGCAAGGTTGTTTCAGACCCTAGACACATGCGAAGTGCCAAAATCGTGGAAATTCTCAGTAACTAGGCCAGTGCCAAAAAGATGGGCACGTATACCAAATGATTTCCGGCTTATTGCAATCACTTCCACACTGTGTAAGACCATGGAATGTGTTCTGGCCAGCTATTTTTACACTCTGGCCACTATGCTAGATTCACTCCAGTTTGCATATAAGAGCGACAGAGGCACAGATGATGCTGTGCTGACTCTGCTTATGAGTTAAAACATCTTATGCATCCTAAAGGTTATACCAGGGTTTTATTTGTGGATTTTAGTTCAGCTTATAACTCAATAAATACACATATACTCCCGAAAAGGCTAATTGATCTTAACATCAATACAGGATTAGTTCTTGGGATCAGAGACTTTCTTACCTGGCATCCACAGAGAATCTGTGTCAGGGGGAGCATGTCAGACATGTTCCTTGTTATAGTTCTGGACTCCCACCTGAGCATCTCTGGAAATACTGGGTCTCATTCATGAAACATGAGCAGAAGGAATTTGTGTGTAAACTGTTCACAGACGGAAATGTACGTGCATGTCCGCATTCATCAATATTTTAGTAGCTCCGATCTTTTCGTAGCTACTAACAAAATCTACTCCTGCTCCTGACAACTCGTAGTGCTTGTGTAAATTTAGTAAAGCACATAAATATTGCTTGTCACTATTGGAAATTACAATGTTAACTCGTATTGTGCTCTGTTATGTACACAATACACAGATGCTTTTGAAACACGTAATCTAAACATGACAAAAATATTAAAAATATAACACATTTAGTTAAATTAGTTGGCAGTTAGCAGGTTTAAGATCCAGATTAGGTTCATGATTGTGAATTATCTATGTAAACTGACTCAACAGATTACACATTCTTTCTACATGTTGAATGATGATAATAAAAATATCTCTAAGAACAGCCGGATCACAGCCTCTTCGGCCTCGGTGCCTGGGTTCAGCAGGGGCAGCAGGAGCAGCAGGTGGTGGAGCCACGAAGGAGCACGCGCCAGCTGAAAGAATTTTTTTTTTCTTTTTTTGGTGGCTTTTTGATCATTTGAATGAATAAATCTGATTTGAAAATGTTTAATTTACGTTGTATAAAACAGAGCTTTAGGCTATGAAGATTCAAATAATTTGAAGATGATGCATACAAAACTGCTGTAGGCTATATGTTATCCGTATCATTTGTTAAAATAAATATTAAATAGCTCTACATTCCGACAGCCATCACTGATTTAAAGTTTATCCATTACGCACAAAACATCTCTGGTTTCCCGTTCCCACTTCATTCAAAACCCCACAAATGAATCTTCTGTTTGTTTGGTGACCACTACGCTATCAATGATGATTTACAGAATGTATTAGGCTATAACACATTACAGTCTGGGTTTGATGTTGACTCCAGTGGAGGCATGTCGCTGTCTCTGTCAGGAATAATTCCTGACAGAGGCAGCGACCTCTGGGTCTTTGTACCACGGAGACAACATTAAAAGCATCTGTTACCTCCCTCCGGGCCTTTCGCTTTGCCTGTCCCTGTCACACCACTACTAACTGAAGAAAATAATATGTTTTTTCTTAAGTCCACTTCACCCAAAATTATTTCGATCTCCGCTTCGGAAAAATTCTTTTTACCTTCTCTCTCTTTCTTTCTTTACGCCATGACTGACAGGTTGACAGGATGCACCTACACCTCCTTATATGGTGGTCATTGGCTATTCATGGCGGGGATTTATGCTAATTGATGATTACCGGGAGCGTGCTGTCACTTTACGATGGATTGGCATTCATGATCATACACACGTGTTTACGATCAAATCTGAATAGAGTAGGCTTTTATGTGCAAATCTACACACAAATTTACTCACTTTTCATGAATGAGACTCACTGAGTATATTTTTGAGAGATGCTCACACTGACTCTTTCTTCATAGGAAACTCAGTGGCCTCAGTGTTGGTCAGCAGATTTTAGAATTAATGTACAAAACTATGGTTGAGTGTGTTTTAACTTTTCACCTCCCTTCCTAGTACAGTCATCTTAACTGTACATCCAAGAATAAACTCTCTAGGATTGTGACAATGGCAACTAAAATAGTTGGCAGGCCACAAAAGCCCTTGACCCAACTCTTTACAGAGAGGACAAGGAAGAAAGCAAGGAGTATATTGGCAGAAAGCTCCCAACTTCACTTTAGCCAGTTTGAACTCTTGAGAATTTTTGGAGCAATGTCATCATCGAAGTCGGTGGACTGCCATAAGCAATAGTTCCTCTGACAACTAAAAATGTATTTAATAAGTCTTCATCCCAAGTGCTATCAATATCCTGAAGTCAACAAAGGGACTGATGAGTTTTAAACCATAGACAGACAATGAGCTTATTTAATGTTGTGTTAAGTGTTTGTAACGACTTTGTATGTTTGTTTATTGACTATTTGATTGCTTTTTAATTTGTTGTTTTTTGTGTCTGGTGAGCCGGAGACAAATTTCCACCTCTGGTTGACAACTGAGATATATTCTATTCTATTGTATTCTATTGTATTCTATTCTAAGCCAGTATCAGAGTTACCAGTGTTGTACAGCAGATGCTGCCTGAAATTTAGACCATCTCTATATGAATAATACAAATGGATGCACTTAAAAGAAATAATACTGATACTAATACTACTACTATTACTACTACTACTACTACTACCAATGATTATCATAATAATAATAATAATATTGTATTGAAGAATGGAGGTTGAGAAGGTAAAACGATGTACATTTGCCAACGGAATTACTTATAGCAGTGGTTCCCAACCTTTTTCATTCAAGGAGCCCTTTTCTATCACCGATTACACTGGTGAGCCTAAGTGACATATTTTATGGATATTTATATTAAATGCATAACAGTAACAGTACAGAACAACTGACAAATTGTACAATTAACCCAAATAGTGAACACAGTTTGTGTAGTACAAGCAGATAATTTCTTGTGAGTATTGCATCAGAGGTGAGTTTTCCTGTTTGTTTTTAAGTGCCTTTTAATATAACACTCTGCATTACATATTTATTTTTGAATTTCTAACAATCATACATGCTTAATAGGCCTCTTTTCTGACAGATTCAATGTATTCTTCTCCCTGACGTACGGCCATTGTTCTATTAACTCTTAGGTTGTTTTCACTGTCTATTTTTCTAATGCAGGACAAGGCTGTTGATCAGAGAGTGAAGGCTCTGTGAATACAGCTTGTGTTAAGGTCTTCACTGTGCCCTAATCCTGTGAGATTTTTTTTTAATTAATGTCTTGAATAATAATCTAAACTTAAAATGAACAGTTTCATTTAGTTTTCTTCACAGATATGAATGAAATGCTGAGATATAGGCCTACTGTATTAAAGTTTTCTGACACACCCTACAATTAAGAAGGTGCTACAACACCTTCTTAATTAACCCCCAGTGAAGCTTTGGCAAGGGGTTGGGATCCCCAGGTTGGGAACCAGTAATTTAAAGGGATACTTTATTGATTTTCAACCAGCTTTGTATCACAAAAGTGTGAGTGCCTTCTGAACTGCATTCTTTTTCTTTATACTTTTAGTAGTAGTAATATTCCTATTATTACTATTTGACTGGTCATCAGTTACTTGAATGCATCTTTTTCTGTCATTGCGACTACATAGAGCTGTCAATCAGCTGTCAAGCTGTCATCTGTTTGTGGCCCAGTCAATGTGACGCATCTGCTGTTGAGCAGAGGATTGTGGGTCAGAATAGTCAGAAAAGCATGCTGGCTTGCACACTGCAAAATATGACTGACTGTAGTTGAACATCCTGGTATTTTTGACATACTGCATTCGACATACTATGATTTGGGACATACTAAATCTTTTTCTGGCATACTAAATGGACTACAGTCTATGAGTCAGATCCTCCACAGCTCCACCCTCTTGTCCAAATATGGTCACTTCCAGTGGTTGAATTGTTAATTTTTAACAAGGGGGGTGCAATGTAGTTTTGATTTTTTTTGCGTGCACACATCATCAAATATGACAGCACAGATGTGCAAAATTAATCAAGATAAAGAAAAATGGCATGACCTATACCTGCTGCCTTTAAAAACACAAATAATGCAGTAGTATTGCGATACAGACAAAAAACATTTTAGAATATAAATAAGAGTAGTTCTGAATAGCTGTGAAAATTAATCTTAGAGTCACTCTTATCCTATAGACATTTCCTTAGCCAGTTATAATTTCTCCTTACCTGTGAAGCCTTGGGCTGATAATTGGTGATGCTGTCAGGTCCCTGTCCTGATACCTGCCTGGTTTCTCCCTGTCCCTCTTCTATCTATTGCAATAATATAGATAATAAATGTGCAAAGTAAAATTCATAAATAGAATTAGGAATAGTAGTGGTGACATAGCTGTGGAAATTAACCTCAAAGTCACTTTGAAAGAGAGAAAATATCTATAGCATATAGATATTTTTTCTCAGCCAGTTATAATGTCTTCTCACCTGTGAAGACCCTGCATGATCATCCTTGCTGGCCTCTGGTCCACTGTCTCCTTCCTTACCTTGCTCTTTCTATTGTAGCAATAAAGATTAAGAAAATATGTGCAAAGCAATAGTGAGCACAAGTTCTGCGCAGAAATTAAGGAGGAGTGGGTTTATTCCTCACATGAAACTAGCTAGCAAGCAATTTAACATAGGTAACAATAACATTAGTATTCTTGTTAACTAGCTTAACTTGATATATTGGCATCTATTAATTAGTCATCATTTAGCTAACATTATTTACATGCAACAGCATTACTCAACTTACACGGTTTGTTTGGAAGAAACTGTGCAAGGTTTTTTGCTTCTTGCTGGCTGGTTTGCTGAACATACAGCACACATCTCGTCTGTGCGATTGATTAAGATCACAACACTGCAGCATGTGTATGTGCCTGGCGCCGTCTAATGATGGTGCGTTTAAAGACAGCTCGGAAAAACACATAACCACATGTTAAAAACAAATGGAACAGTTGTAACAGCTATCAAAATGTGCGGGGGACGGAGGGCACAGATACGGGAAGTGCAGGGGACATGTCCCCTGTATCCCCCCATGTGCCTAACAGAATGTTTTGCTGCACTCAAATGGCTGGCAGCCAAAATACAGCAGAATGTTTTAATATAGAAAGCATTTGTTTGTGGTCTTTCATTATAGAGCTTTTCAGTAATTGAAGAATTGTAATTCTCACCTGTATGTTATATTCCAACCCCAGGTCCCCTGCAGAAGCCTCATTGAAATGAATCAGTCATCCCCCATGTCCTATTTTAGTGTGCCAGTTATTGAGCCTTTTGGCAAGTGCAGACCAGATTTTACCGCCTGTGTGGTATGATGACATATGACGCAGTGACTTTGCCCCTTTTTGCCTCATTGATTTTTGAATGTCCACACCAGAGACACAAATGCTGTGTCTCAAGTGGCATACTTCTGTACTTACACTTAATATTTTGAGTGCATAAGTGCGTTCACACTGAGACGTATGGAAAAATGCAGTGCACTATGAGTACCCGGATGGTGCACTCAGAACGGCCAAGAAGTTGAGTGTGGAACTATGGACACTTCTTGCCCTCAATGGTCGCCATCCTGGCGACGTAGCGGAAGAGGGGGAGGCACTTTTCAAACTGGAAATAGCGGCCGAGGACTGTGCGACCGTGAACGTCGCTGTATTGTACAGTACAAATACATGTGCTTTTTGCACTAAGCTCCACTATACAGTCCATAGGGACTTGGGTTGGGAACCGGAGGGTCGTCTGTTCGAGTCCCCGTCCGGACCAAAATATGGAGCATGGACTGGTGGCTGGAGAGGTGCCAGTTCACCTCCTGGGCACTGCTGAGGTGCCCTTGAGCAAGGCACCGAACCCCCCAACCGCTCGGGGCGCCTCACCAAGGGCAGCCCCCTCACTCTGACATCTCTCCACTTTGTGCATGTACAGGTCCTGTTTGTGCATGCGTGTGTCTTTCGGACCTGTGTGTAATTGACAAGCAAGAGTGAAAACATTGAATTTCCCCTCAGGGGGATTAATAAAGTAAATAAACTGTAAATAAACTTAACTTATACTGTTGTCGGATATAAGCCAGCGGTATGTTTATTGGGTTAATTTAGCAGTCTGTAATGATTTGGTACCGCCAACACAAATGCTAATGCTGGTTTGCTAACTAGCTAATTTGCAGTCGTCATTTCCGGTGAGTGCACAACGGCCGTGTTTGGTTTGAGACAACACTACCATGTCGAAATTCACGCACTACGCCAATGAGTACATAGTGCACATAGTATACTACATAGAAGTGTACTAAGGGAAGTATGTAATTTGAGACACACCAAAAGAGTATAGTAGCAATAGTACCTCCCCCCCCCCCCTCTCTCTCTCTCTCTCTCTCTCTCTCTCTCTCTCTCTCTCTCTCTCTCTCTCTCTCTCCCTCCCAATGCTGATGAGACATATACCAAGAATCTGTTCTTGTGTTGCCTGTTTCTCTCCTCAGATGTTTCAGAAACATATTTTAGCTCAACATTTAAATGTAGTTCAAGATAGTTTGTCACCAGCACCATCATATTGTTTCCCGTGGGGAAAAAAGGCCAAGCTTGCATTACGTCACTGGGGGAGTTTAGTGTTCCAGTGCAGTGTATTCTGGTAGCTTTAGGTTTTCTCCCTCTTGGACAAAAGCAAATGCCACAGTCCTTGTCCTCTGTTTTTTCTGGTCATGTAGCATCAATTTCAAAAGTATTTGCCTTTTCCTACTGCATAGACAGCCCAGTTTTATGAAAAGACCATCTTTCCAGCAGTGCAATACTTCTTAAAGTCATCATCACTGGAGGCTGTGAACATCCACAGTGATGATGGCTGTCACCAACACTAGTTGGAGTGGGTGTTTTCTCATAGCTCATTGTGGCTCACATACCATAATGAGGTGGAGAAGATAACATATATGAAGAAGCCAATTTATCACTAATCACAAAGACATTACATCACAACTTACCATTTTGTAAACCACATTACTGTATTTCAGAAATTTGGATAAAATATTCAGTGATAAAGTTTTCTAAAATAAGGGTAACTGACTATCTTTTACCAGGGCTTTCAGCCTTATCTCATGGTCCTCTCACTGAAAAAAGTTCAAGAGAAGTTGGTTTGTAAAAGTTGGGTTGAGAATATTTATTATTATTGATATACAGAAATGCAATGAAGGTTTTTGAAATGATCTGCACCTAAACAACACGAAGAGGTGCCTGGAAATGAAGGCAGATTACATAAAAAACAGATAAAACTTTATATCCTGTGTGTGAAAATGGTTGGAGGAAATCAAACGTATGTATGGTTTGCAATTGGTTTGCAGTGTAGCAGCTAGAACTTGGAAGTACTGTGTTGGTCTTTAAAGTCCAAACACAGTAGTGGGACAGCCTGTCCTTAACAAAATAACTGCAGGGAAATACATCACACAAGTATAAATGGTTGAATATGAATCAAATGCACAAACAAAATGGTTTTTTTTCTCCAGGTCATTATACTTGAGTCCAGCAGTCGCTTTGGAGGTTGGCTGTGGTCTACCAGGAGGTCAGATGGGGCGATATTTGAACATGGACCCAGAGGGATCAGACCTGCTGGGGCAGTGGGATGCAACACACTCAATATGGTAAGCAGTGATAAATCATTTTAAGATAAAACACCAACTTTATTCATCCTGAATGAAATTGTTGTGCAGCACTTGCAGTACAAAGTGATAAAGGGTGTAAATATAGAATATCAACATAGACGTAACAATAAAAATATCAATAAACTGATATCCAAAACCAAAAATGTGCACAATACCAAAAATCTAAACTGTCTAAACCTGTAAGGATCAACAGTTGCTGATATCTCAAGTTACTTCTTGGTGTGTTGCATATAGATATTTATGTGAAATGGTATATAGCTACAGTATGTATGCACAATATCCATTCTCAAGTGTATATGGTTAATTCGGAATGTTTCTGATCATATCCATGATATTACACGTAATGTATCAAGTTTGATGTCATGTTTTAAGTCTGTTTATCATGATTTTTATGATGAAATTGAATGCTCTTGCTGTGGAATAGTAACTCACAAATTCAATTCAATCAATCAATTTTATTTATAAAGCCCAATATCACAAATCACAATTTGCCTCACAGGGCTTTACAGCATACGTCATCCCTCTGTCCTTAGGACGCTTGCAGCGGATAAGGAAAAACTCCCCCAAAAAAACCCTTTAACAGGGGAAATAAACAGTAGAAACCTCAGGAAGAGCAACTGAGGAGGGATCCCTCTTCCAGGATGGACAAACATGCAATAGATGTCGTACAGCACAGATCAACATGATAAATTAACAGTAATCCGTATGACACAGTGAGACAGAAAGAGAACCAGAGAGAGAGACAGAGAGAGATGCAGGACAGACGGTAACGGTAATAGCTTACAACAACATTAATGAAAGTAATAATATTATAATTCTGGCTATTGTGGTACAATATGTTGAAAGTATATATTAATATCTTATAGTATACATATGTGACAATAATCATATGTGTATAATAACAGTAGAAGTATGACTAATGATAACAGCAGCAGCAGCAGGAGGCATCTGGCAGGACCACAGCAGCAGCACAACCCCACACGCCACACTATCCAGGCACCGCTGCAATACGAGTTAACCTGCGAGACAGTGGCACACAAAGGCTCCGGAGAAGAAGCCTAAGTGACATGCAGTACGACCGAGTTAGCAAGATGCAGTAACAGGACATGAGAGAGCGAGAGAGAGAGAGAAGGAGAGAAGGTGCCCGGTGTATTATAGGAGGTCCCCCGGCAGACTAGGACTAAGTCAGCCTAACTAGGGGCTGGTACAAGGCAAGCCTGAGCTGGCCCTAACTATAAGCTTTATCAAAGAGGAAAGTCTTAAGTCTAGTCTTAAATGTGGAGACGGTGTCTGCCTCCCGGACCATAACAGGAAGATGATTCCACAGGAGAGGAGCCTGAAAGCTGAAGGCTCTGGATCCTGATCTACATTTGGAAACTTTAGGGACCACGAGAAACCCTGCATTCTCAGAGCGCAGTGTTCTGGTGGGATAATATGGCACTATGAGCTCTCTAAGATATGACGGAGCCTGACTATTTAGAGCTTTATAAGTTAACAGTAGGATTTAAAATTCAATTCTGGATTTTACAGGGAGCCAGTGCAGAGAAGCTAAAACAGGAGAAATATGATCTCGTTTCTTAGTTCCTGTCAGTACACATGCCGCTGCATTCTGAATTAGCTGGTTTTTAAAGACTTATTAGAGCTACCTGATAATAGGGAGTTACAGTAATCCAGTCTAGAGGTTACAAAAGCGTGGACCAATTTTTCTGCATCTTGCAGATGAAAAAATGCAGTCCAGTTGTTTTAAATGAAAATTAAAAGACAAATCTTGATCAAATATTACTCCGAGGTTTCTTACGGTAGTGCTAGAGGCCAGAGCAATGCCATCTAGAGAAACTATGTCATCAGATAAAGAGTCTCTGAGTGGTTTGGGGCCAAGAACAATAACTTCAGTTTTGTCTGAATTTAACATCAGGAAATTGGTGCTCATCCAAGTTTTTATGCCTTTAAGGCAGTTATGAAGTTTTTTAATTGATTAGTTTCTTCTGGCTTCATTGATAAATACAACAGTGTATCATCCGCATAACAATGGAAATTTACAGAGTGAATTCTAATGATGTTAACTAAAGGAAGCATATATAGAGTAAATAGGATAGGATAGGATAGGATAGGAATAGTGTCAAACGCCGCACTAAGATCTAATAAAACAAGTACAGAGACGAGTCCTTTGTCTGAAGCAATCAGAAGGTCATTTGTAATTTTAACTAGTTTTTTTTTTTGTTGTTGTTGTTGTTTTATTATGGATCCCCATTAGTCTTCACAAAGTGAAGACTATTCTTCCTGGGGTCCAGACACTCATATATATATACAGTACAGGCCAAAAGTTTGGACACACCTTCTCATTCAATGCGTTTTCTTTATTTTCATGACTATTTACATTGTAGATTCTCACTGAAGGCATCAAAACTATGAATGAACACATGTGGAGTTATGTACTTAACAAAAAAAGGTGAAATAACTGAAAACATGTTTTATATTCTAGTTTCTTCAAAATAGCCACCCTTTGCTCTGATTACTGCTTTGCACACTCTTGGCATTCTCTCCATGAGCTTCAAGAGGTAGTCACCTGAAATGGTTTCCACTTCACAGGTGTGCCTTATCAGGGTTAATTAGTGGAATTTCTTGCTTTATCAATGGGGTTGGGACCATCAGTTGTGTTGTGCAGAAGTCAGGTTAATACACAGCCGACAGCCCTATTGGACAACTGTTAAAATTCATATTATGGCAAGAACCAATCAGCTAACTAAAGAAAAACGAGTGGCCATCATTACTTTAAGAAATGAAGGTCAGTCAGTCCGGAAAATTGCAAAAACTTTAAATGTGTCCCCAAGTGGAGTCGCAAAAACCATCAAGCGCTACAACGAAACTGGCACACATGAGGACCGACCCAGGAAAGGAAGACCAAGAGTCACCTCTGCTTCTGAGGATAAGTTCATCCGAGTCACCAGCCTCAGAAATCGCAAGTTAACAGCAGCTCAGATCAGAGACCAGATGAATGCCACACAGAGTTCTAGCAGCAGACCCATCTCTAGAACAACTGTTAAGAGGAGACTGCGCCAATCAGGCCTTCATGGTCAAATAGCTGCTAGGAAACCACTGCTAAGGAGAGGCAACAAGCAGAAGAGATTTGTTTGGGCCAAGAAACACAAGGAATGGACATTAGACCAGTGGAAATCTGTGCTTTGGTCTGATGAGTCCAAATTTGAGATCTTTGGTTCCAACCGCCGTGTCTTTGTGAGACGCAGAAAAGGTGAACGGATGGATTCCACATGCCTGGTTCCCACTGTGAAGCATGGAGGAGGAGGTGTGATGGTGTGGGGGTGTTTTGCTGGTGACACTGTTGGGGATTTATTCAAAATTGAAGGCACACTGAACCAGCATGGCTACCACAGCATCCTGCAGCGACATGCCATCCCATCCGGTTTGCGTTTAGTTGGACGATCATTTATTTTTCAACAGGACAATGACCCCAAACACACCTCCAGGCTGTGTAAGGGCTATTTGACCAAGAAGGAGAGTGATGGAGTGCTGCGGCAGATGACCTGGCCTCCACAGTCACCGGACCTGAACCCAATCGAGATGGTTTGGGGTGAGCTGGACCGCAGAGTGAAGGCAAAGGGGCCAACAAGTGCTAAACACCTCTGGGAACTCCTTCAAGACTGTTGGAAAACCATTTCAGGTGACTACCTCTTGAAGCTCATCGAGAGAATGCCAAGAGTGTGCAAAGCAGTAATCAGAGCAAAGGGTGGCTATTTTGAAGAAACTAGAATATAAAACATGTTTTCAGTTATTTCACCTGTTTTTTGTTAAGTACATAACTCCACATGTGTTCATTCATAGTTTTGATGCCTTCAGTGAGAATCTACAATGTAAATAGTCATGAAAATAAAGAAAACGCATTGAATGAGAAGGTGTGTCCAAACTTTTGGCCTGTACTGAATATAGTGCTGTCTCAGTGCTATGATGCACTCTGAATCCTGATTGAAATTCCTCAAATAAATTATTATCATGGAGAAAATCACACAGCTGGTCTGCGACTACTTTCTCAAGGATCATTGAAAGAAAGGGAAGATTAGATATTGGTCTATAGTTGGCTAACACCTCTGGATCCAGGGTGGGCTTTTTTAGGAGAGGTTTAATTACAGCTACCTTAAAAGACTGTGGTACATAGCCTGTTAATAAAGATATATTGATCATGTCTAATAGGTGAGTGTTAACTAAAGGTAAGACTTCCTTAAGTAGCCTAGTTGGGATGGGGTGTAAAAGACATGTTGATGATTTAGATGAAGAAATCACTGCGGTCAATTGTTGAGGAGATATCGGGGAGAAGCAATCTAAATATATATTAGGTCTTGTGACTGTGTTTGCTGTGGTTGAGGGCAGATATGTACTATCTGAGGACAGGAGGTCATGAATTTTGCCTCTAATAGTTAGAATTTTGTCATTAAAAAAGCTCATAAAATCATTACTGCTAAGGGCTAAAGGAATACAAGGCTTAATAGAGCTGTGACTCTGACTTAACACTGTAGACTCAGTAGATTTGAAAGGTAATATTAAAAAAAATAAATAAATCTTCAAATCAGGACTATATCGCTGTATATTGCACATTTTTTAAATACTACATACTGTGAACCTCTGCTCATTTCTTACACACTTTTGCACATTTGTGCGCAAACTACTTTTTCTAAGAATTGAACATCTCTTTTATTTTAAAGGATAGCTTCTGTATTTTTTAACCTGGACCCCATTTTCCCATATATTTGTGTCTAAGACACACAGTTTTTGAAGCATGTACTTGAAGTGTACACTGTGCAGCTGTATTATAGATGTATTAGATTGGGACTCGGTATTGGCAGATATTCATTATTAAATGACTCAGATTGGGAATGGTGGCCAAAAAAACTTGATCAGGACATCCCTAATTCAGAATGATTGTATTATTAAAAAGTATAATCTGTGTGTGTTTGTATGTAGGTGGATGACCTGGGTCTGGGCGGGGAGATCCTGCCAGTCACCTACAGCCATGTTGCCTCCAAGAACAGATATCTGTATGTCAACAGACAGCTCCATAGGATGCCTTCAGGAATCAGGTAGGATTGGTCAAAATAGAAAGCTATTTATGTTAAGAGAATTTGGCATAAATAAAGATCATACTCATTACACCTTATGTGGTGTGGCTAAATAACTGCTGTTCAAATCGGTACAATTTTTCATTCTAGTGGGAATCCTACATGTCCAAATGGTAAATGGACTGCATTTGTATAGCGCTTTGCTAGTCTTCCAACCACTCAAAGTGCTTTTACACTACATATCACTTTTCACCCATTGACACACACAATAACACACTGGTGGCAGTGGCTACCATGCGTGGTGCCACCGGCTTCTCAGTAACCATTCACACGCTCACAGACACCCACCAACAGCCATCAGGAGCAATTCGGGGTTGAGTATCTTGCCCCAGGATACTTCGACATGTGAACTGGAGGAGCTGGGAATCGAACCGCCAATCTTCCTAGGATGGTACTTCAGGTGGCGGACTCTACACATGGTCGTGAAAACAAATCCATATACTGCATAATCACGCACAAATACATATTCAGCTTTGTAAATACCACAGCTGCTCTTTTTGCCAGCATGTGACATACTGATAGGTTTTTTTTATTTTTTTATTTTTTTATATTTTTTATTTGGAAATGCAAACAAGTACAAAATACAGTAAGTATATACTTAGAATGATATTTCCATTTTTTCTTTTCTCCCACTCCAAACGAACAACTCACCCACCTGAACCTGGACACAAAAAAGCACAAAAAATAGAGTATATGTATACAGACAAGCAAATAAGTACATGTGCCCACACAAAGTACATACACTTACATAAACATACACAGACACATGAGAGGCCACAATTAGCCACACACACCGCCACCATGCTTATGCTTATTCACTACTGTCCGGTCATACAAGCCTGCACCAGTCCAAGAGTAGTATAAGTTCACTGTATTGTACATAGTAATCAGTAATAAGTCGAAAATAAGTGGTGTAAGAAAGAAATCACAGCAGAGGATATGGGAAGGAGAAGAAAATAAATAAATAAATAGATACACTTAACCAGTTCTATTTGTAAGAGCCAAAATATATATTTTGCTTATGTTTATTGTTTATTTGTATGTATGCACAGGTATGTCACATCCGGTGGTTGACACATGGGTGTGGTTTAAGTTATTTAACTGGGCATTTAAATCCCTGGTGGGAATGGAGACAGTAGGGTTGAGTGAGCTCTGATATTTTCTGTTGACCGTCACGTCGGATCACTGCATTGTAAGTCTTCTTTTGTTTGCAAAATAAAACTTATACAACTGTCAAGTGGACTGATGCAAAGAAGGAACGAGTCACAGATGCGAGCCCACTTAAGCCTCTCAGCGGCTTTTTTATTGATAGCAGTCGCTACACTATTAGTGAAACTGTGCATAGACCTACTGTGTTCTTTATGATTAAATATCTTGGATTGGGAAATTTTGTTACAGGGCATCAGGCAAAGTTTTGAGTTTACTTAAATGTGTCAAAACTGAGTTCCAGATGGAGAAGAATTTGTCACTAGATCCCTTAAGTGAATATTTAAACTTCTCTAACTGTATGAAGAGCATCAAGTCGCTAAACCACATAGACACTTTAGGGGGGTGTTTTGATTTCCAGTGTAATAAAATTCTCCTGCGAGCGAGCAATGTTATGAAAGCAATAATTTTTGTGGCTTTTCCTAACTACAGAGTAATCTCCGACTGTGATTCCAAATATGGCTGCTGCTGCTGCTGTGTTGGGTTGGAAATCAGTATTAAGTGCTTCAGATAGAAATTTAAAAATCATAGACCAGTAAGTTGTCAGAGTGGGGCATGACCAGAACATACGAGTTGGCGGGAGTGTTCTGACACCTGTCACAACTTGCCTCTGAATCAGGGTACAACTTAGCTAATCTTGCTTTGGAGAAGTGAGCTTGACGTAGAACTCTGAACTGTGTTATACTTAGTCTTGCACAAGAAGTACTATTGTTTACTCTTTGTAAAGCACAGTTTCATTCATCCTCCTCCATGTCCTCTACTAGCTCAGCTGTCCAATTTGCCCTAATCTTGGCAAAGGTTATGTTTTTAAGAGAAGCTATATAGTCATGTATCCTTGCAATTAGCCCTTTTTTATCTAAAAGGAATCTCTAACATGTCATCTAAGCCTGATACTGAAAAGCTTGGAAAAGTGGGGTCCTGGCTCTGAAGGAAGTGGTGGACCTGAAAATAATGGAATAGGCTGGACCTAGGAAGACCGAATTTGTGTGATAGGTCCTCAGAACCTGCAAATGTACCATTTATGTACATATCCTTAAATTTAAAAATGCCTGAGAGAAAATGCAGAATCTAAATTAGCCGGGGGAAAAGGTGGTTATTGCATATAGGACTCAAGCCAAGACAGTGTTTAAACCCAAAGTTCTGTCGTAATTGGAACCATATCTTAAAGGGAAATTTCGGTTTATTTCAACCTGTCTCCTATCGTCCTAAATTTGTTTCAAGTGACTAGTGACATAAAAATAATAGTTAGCATGTTAGCTGTTAGCCTAGATACAGCCGTGGTGCATAGTAGCGTCAGACCTGTTAAAACGTAAGTGAAAGGGCATACTTCAAGTGCAAAGTTAGTCCACTAAACAAGCTTTTTTCCCCACAATGACTGCCTCATATCGTTAGGATAAATGTCAGAGAACATATAGAAAACGACATGTAAACGTGTTGTCTTACCTTACCGGTGTGGTGCCATGTTTGTTTACCATTTAGCTCTGCTTTCCAAAGTGCGGCCGAAATATTGCGAGAACAAGCAGCGATCTCATACCGTGCCTGAAATCTCGCGAGCTCTAGATAAAGCCCAGCTGGATACTACTCCAGGTGGAGGTGTCTCGTCCTCGGACACATCCAGACCTTGAAAATAAGGCTGCAACCGGTCCCATTCCTTGCAACAGAGGCATTCCTCTTCTGTGGGCATTGGGACACAGCATTCACACTACACCACCAATCTTCAGAGCTACTCAGCCTTGCAGCAGCCATTCCTCCTCTCTCGTCCTCTACCTGTTGCGCCTCTCTCTCCTCCTTCGTTCTTCAATTTCACAAAGCTCTTCGTCAGTGTATTCTGGCTCAAATAAATAAGGGCGGCCATCAACACTCTGCAAAATCAAATTCCTCCTCCACAAAGTCGAAGTCTGGCAAAAAGTCAGTCATTATTCTATAAATCTTTCATAAAATAAATGAATGAACTTTTCAGGCTACTGTCCGGTTCTGCCTTCCAGCTGTTGCTGCTTGTTCTCAGGCACGGTATGAGATCGCTGCTTGTTCTCGCAATATTTCGACCACGCTTTGGAAAGCAGAGCTAAATGGTAAACAAACATGGCACCACACCGGTAAGGTAAGACAACACGTTTACATGTCGTTTTCTATATGTTCTCTGACATTTATCCTAACGATATGAGGCGGTCTTTGTGGGAAAAAAGCTTGTTTAATGGACTAACTTTGCACTTGAATTATGCCCTTTCACTTACGTTTTAACAGGTCTGACGCTACTATGCGCCCTGGCTGTATCTAGGCTAACGGCTAACATGCTAACTATTATTTTTTATGTCACTAGTCACTTGAAACAAATTTAGGACGATAGGAGACAGGATGAAATAAACTGAAATTTCCTTTTAAGGGTATTGATGATGACTGGATTATTAGTAAAATGTGCAATAGAAAGTGGAGAACTGGAGGTGACTAGGGCCGCAAGAGAGGATGAGGTACATGATATAGATTCAAAGCTACACCAGTCTGTAGATGGAGAATGAAACCAATACATAATTTTCTGAATATTTGCAACCCAATAATAGTAGCAAAGTTTAGGAAGAGATAGGCCTCCCTGTGATTTAGGAATTTGTAGCAGTTTCTACTATTCTAGGAGTCTTACTGTTCCATATTAATGAAATAAAAGCTTTATCTATGGATTTAAAAAAAGATTTAGTTAGATAAAGAGGGACACAATGGAACAAATAAAGGAATTTAGAGAGTACATTCATCTTAATACAGTTAACCTTTCCTGCCAAGGACAGGTGAAGTGATTTCCATTTTTACAAATCTAGTTTGACTTTCTCAATTAAGGGGAAAAATTTTTCTTGATAAAGATTTTGCATATCTCTTGTGATGTTAATACCGAAGTACTTAACCCTATGGGCCCTAGGCCTTTTTTTGGGTATTTTTACTGCCTTTACTTTAAAGCTCATATCACAGTCATTATAAAGGCTACATACACATGCTATATCTTGTTGTTGTTTTTTCAGGACAATCTGGACTATCTGGATTTGCCATCATTCCATGTCCTTCTATGCGCCTGTATTTTATGTACATTTTTATATCAATGAAAAAAACAAATCCATGTGACTAAATTCTTACATTTTTACATGTATCTCACCATAGCAAGTTGAAGTTGACATATTGTGCCATATATGAAGAGGGGAGACTCTCTGGAATCTGGCAATATAAGAACCATGATGCTGGGACATTCTGTCACTTCACAGCTGTCCAAAACATGTGGTTTGTGCCAGGCGGACATGATTGCCAGTATTTTTTCAATATTGCAAGAAATTCCATTGACTCATTCACAAGTCAAAAATGTGTTTTATCTGAAAGAAACTTTGGGCATGGGGGACGTGTCCCCCCTCAATGTATATGGTGACTACTGCCTTGTCACGCATGTATAATTAGGTTACAGTTGTCTGTGTGTGCAAAGGTGAAGTGCGCTGGTCTTGTCATACAAAGTTTGATGGAGTGTCAACTGGACAATATGGAGATATTTGCATCTTGAAAGCTGGACTACAAATGTGGATAGACAGGGAGAAACACATGCAAGTCTAAGACGTGGTAAGATACGATATTCCTCACTATATGAAGTGACTGATAACAAGATCTGTATAATGGATTGTAAAGAAATTCATCAGGTTTTTATTTTGTAGACAATTGATCTGGATTTATAGCATGATGGGATGACAGCACAATGATATGTGTGGTATCACTGGAATGCTCTGGTCCTG